CTAGCCTAAGCTAGCTGCTCCTTACTACCAGAAATAAAACCGTGTGAAGCTGATGTGCTCAGTAGAAAAGTGCAGCAGAAGGCGATAAAAGAGACTGAATCAACATGACGAGGAACCCATGAGATGATGAACAGGTTCTATAGATCAGAACAATGTTTTTATTCTTCATCTTGACCTGCTGACAGATGATTTAACCTAAATAGATCCACTGATCTACTACCATTCAAGAAATAAAACTAATGCTATTGCTGTACCAACAGCCTATGGCAAGCCATATCGATATGTATTCGTTCTAGTGAACATGTACTCCTGATATCCACAAACGGGCTGAAAGTGGAAGGCTGCCAGTCTATTGCTGAGATGTTTGCAGATGTTTCCTCAGGAGTCTTTATCCTGTCAGCTCCACCAGATCAAGCTCTAGTTCTGATAGCATGGAGGACCAGCCTCCTGCTCACAGTCCAGTCACATGCTAATCAGATAGCCACCCATCGTTCTTCTGGATGGTCAGAGCGCTTTGCTGTGATTGGTCCTTTCAATGATGGTGGGAGGTCTTAGGTAAGGTCCAGCTGAATGTTTCCCAGAGTTCCTTGCTCTCCTCTGCTGCTCTGTGAGTTAATCAACCACTTCTTTATTTTCTCTGATAATGGAGGCTGTACAGTCCTCACTGCACCGGATCACATACCAGGTTTCTAGGCTCAGGGATCAGGAAGAATCTGATTTCATTGATCTCAGATTGGAACAACAGGGAGGAAAGTGTTTTAATAAATGTTAAATCAGCCTGCCATAGCCCACTCCTCATACACCTGCGCATTAACTGGAACAACAGTCTCCATCTTCCTCTCCTTTGCAGCTGTAGTGCTGTTTCTCTCTCTATTAAACACAATCTCCTTTCTTTCAATTCTTCATTAAATCTCTAGTTCCAGTGGGGTGAAAGAGGCACTTCCTGTTGCCTGTTGTCATGACATTTCTTCTAGAACCTTCTGAGGGAATCCGTGTTTCCAGTGCTTTACTGGAATCTGACCAGATCAGTTTGTATAAAAGCTGTAAATGTAAACTAGAGGGCTTCCATGTTCCATGTGCCTCCATGTGTTCAGTCTGGGCTCCTCTGATGGCCTCCTGCTGCAGGATGGTCCTCTAGATAATCCAGCCCATAAACCCACTGCTCTGCTAGTCTAACCCAGTTACAGTCTGAGATTCTTTAACAGCCACTGATGATGGAGTCCTGTGTTCAAACATCATAAGAAGGTTTAAAACACTAAACTGTTCATGACTTCCTGTGATGCTCAGAGAAGCTTCCATTATAACTGATCTTTATCCTGTTTATCAATATAACACATTAGAGGAGAAACACGGCGTTAGAAGGATTAAACATCATTAATCTAGCTTAAAGGTCAGACCCAGAACTGATGATGGCGTTTGCTTTCAGGGTGTCACGGCGTGGTCTACTCCCACCGGCACCAGGGAGTGATCGAGTCGTTGAACTTTCCAAACAACTACCCAGCCAACGGTCTGTGCAGCTGGACCATCCAGGCCAGCACTGGAAACACAATCAACTACACCTTCAACGCCTTCCAGCTAGAGGCCACGTCCAGCTGCAGCTTCGACTACATCAAGGTGAACACTTTCACTTTGCGTCACTCCTCTCTGCCTGCTGAAGGCAGGAGAGGAGACTTCATGGAGGGGGGAGACAGAGGGCAACCTGTAGGGTTCATTACGCCGTGGGCAATGTTCCCTCTGAGCTCCTCAGCGTGCAGGAAGATCTATGCAGCGCATGAATCCATCAGGATAAGCAGAGTTCATGCATCCTTTCTACACGGACCGACCCATCATCGGATCTCACTGCATAATATGGAGAAACACAAAGCTCTTGCCGTGGAGCATTAAATATATTGATATATTCCATCTACAGCGGCCTACTTATGGAATGGAAATCTGTCTGCGCCTCCAGAACATCAAACTCAGCGGATTCTGCTGTCCCACTCTTTAAGATGCACCTGTTCACCGTGCAGATACCCCCCCATCCCCCCATCTCGTCCCTATCAGCAAATGTATTACAAACAACTGAAATCAGCTGTTAATGATTGAGACTTTAACGTTATTGATCTTCTAAAAAGCTGAGAAACACAGGAAGGAGGAGGAGGATGCTCCATGAAGGACATCCACTGTCTGGAAGGGACGGCCATTTTCCATAACCGTCCTCTCACACATGATCTGAGTGGAATTCAGACCAGAGGGACGAGCAGGACGATGCAGACCACTTGTTCTCCTGGAAGAGGTGGGCAGCCCTGTCCTGTCCCATCATTACCAGACCAATGAGGGTCTTTGTTACACGTCTCAACTGGGTTGAAACAGTTGCAACAAAGGATATTCTGTTGACGTCTTCACTTCTCTTCCTTTCAGAGTGCAAAGCCTGAAACTGTGAACATAGATAGCTTCAGTGATTGAAGGAACGACCGCTGTGTTCTTCCCCACGCTCTGTATGAGGGGCGAGGGGCGGTGCTCCTCACTCTAGTGGTGTTTTGGTCAAATTTCAGTTTAACAAAAAACCCTCGCGTATATATTACATTTCCATACTCCTAGTTTAAGTGGTGGCTTATACTTTTAAACAGTTTCCTCAACTATTTATAAAAAAGTGACCTCCAGTCCTGAGGTCTACGCCTCAGCAGAGCCAGCTTTACCAGACAGACCATGGCCTTCAGTCCTGAGGTCTACGCCTCAGCAGAGCCAGCTTTACCNAGACAGATGATGGCCTTCAGTCCTTTGGTCTCCATTGAGGAACAAAATGCATGAACCTCCATACTAGAGGTGCAGACAGGGGGTCTGATGAAGAAAGACATACAGGGAGGTCCGCAGCACACCAGGCTTCCTCAGCTGGACCCGACTGGAAGAAGCTAAATCAGAGAAAAAGGCTAATCTGCTACTTTCATGGATGGTGGAAGACGGGTTGATGCCTCCTGAAGCCTGGTGCTGTGGCATTTAGGGACAGAAGACCAAGCATTACCTCTCCTTTATCTTTGGTTTCACCCTCCATGATGGGGCATAGATCTATAACCGCAGCCTCATAGAGTCACTAGTGTTCAAAGGTGAACAGTGAGTCGAACCAGAACCTCTGTGCTGCAAATCATTGTCTGAATATTTAAAGCATAACAAAACTGAGGTCTTTAACAGCGTGATATTTATATTCTATTTTCCCCCAATCTGTTGGTTCTAGCTCTATAACGGGCCTGATGAGCAGGCTCCTTTGATTGGTGCGTTCTGTGGGAACACGCCCCCTCCAGCCAGCAGCACTACAGGCTCAGCCCTAACCGTGGTGTTTAGAAGTGACTCCTCCATTTCCATGGCTGGCTTCCAGATGATGTGGTACCAGAACGGTAAGAGCTGAGCGTCATCATGCCTGAAACATGCAGCCACACGTTCAGGTCAAAACATCAAAGGCTGATCAGTTAGAACATACAAAATATAAATTATCTTCATTATTTTAAACATTCAGCCCCTGAAGAGCAAACAGGGTTCCTGTGCAGTTAGTATTGCAGGCCGTTCACTAATAGTGCATCCATGGTTCAGACCCCTGGCTGTAACATAACCATCCTCAGACCAGGAGTCACTCTAGGGCTTCTGTGTCCCTGCAGGATGTGGAGGAGATCTCCATGGGCCCAGCGGCTCCATCAGCAGCCCGGGTTACCCCAACAAGTACCCTGAAAACAGAGAGTGCATCTGGTACGTCACCACCTCACCTGGAAGCAGCATCACCATGACCATCCACGAGTTTGATGTGGAGTTCCACGCAGACTGCAACTATGACGTTCTAGAAGTAAGTGTGAGGTTCTATTGGGTCTGCTGTGGTTTGGTCGGGTTAATCTAGATCTATTCAGGACCTTATCTTTTATAAACCGGGCTGTGGTTTGGTCGGATTAATCTAGATCTATTCAGGACCTTATCTTTTATAAACCGGGCTGTGGTTTGGTCGGATCAATCTAGATCTATTCAGGACCTTATCTTTCCTCTAAAAGTCTGCTAGTTAATGACTTGATTTGATTGATATACACATTGATTTATGTTGCCCTACAGGGCGTGTGACCCTGGGGAACATGCTTTTCTTTTGGCCGTACTAGTATAAAGTGTAATTGCGGCAGCAACCGTTAAAATTAGAT